TGCCTGAACAAGAGACCTCCTTACTGAAGTGAAAGTGTTGGCTGGTGTCACTAACTCGCGAACGCAGTGGCGGATCTCCACCAAATTCAGGGAATCCCTTCAGCTCGAGGAGCCCTCTCGAACGCTGCCCTCCGCATGTTGGTAGCCCACCAGGATCGCCAGATCGGTCGGCACCCGACCACCCATAACTCCCGGACCCCAGGGGCTATCGACGCGGGGGTGGTCTCATTCGAAGCGGGGCCTCGAGACGTACACTTGATTCGGCGTTCGAGAGGGTTCCTCAAGCTGAAGAGATCCCTTGAATTTGGTCTGGATCCGCCACGCCGTTACGGAGATATGGCCGTTCAAATGTTCAATGGTATTCGATACACTTAAGCTTTAAAGCATTTCATCCAGGTCGCCAGTAACAAACAATGGAGCTCTGCTGGACAAACTACGTAATTACACCATTTACAAGGATTTTATTTGTGTTTTATGTTCTGTAAAAAAATTTTCATATCGACGGCATATCGGCGGCATATTTGCCGATACCGATATATCTGTGACAGGCTCATATCGGATATATTGGTCGGGCTCTAATACAGATGTCAGGTGTGTGTGTTCTCCAATGGATCAAGAGAACTTAGTTCACTTATCAAATTCATTTCTTTTGAATGCAACTGTATATCTCACAACTGTGACCTCAAATCTTCATTTATTTCTTGAGACGTAAACAGGCTCTCGCAATAAGAGATCCAAAAAATATAAAGGTGCAATTCTGCAATATAGTCGCCATTACAAGAAACACTTTTATGAGAAACGAGTCGCTATTAGGAGATGTAAGGTCTCAAATACAACTGTAAAACTCAAGTTAACCTCTTGGAGCCATTTCCTGCTGGAAGGAAAAATGAAAATTCATTCAAAGCATAACAACTCATAAAAGTTGTCTGTGCAACACACTTATTTCCACCCAACAATGTTGGTGTAATAATTTTTTTTTTTTTTAAAGAGTTCACAAGAGACTTCACATTGCACTGCAGGCTTTTCAGGCCCGATCCAGGTGGTGTTCACAGGCCTCACATCAGCAGTGGTATTATAAGCGCTGTCGTCATTCTCCTCGTGAGTGGGCTCCTTCAGTGGCAGATGACTACATGTAAATGGATAAGGTGTTTATAGTCACAGGAGAGAGCAGGCTCTCCATGAGGTCGGCATTCGCTTTGCTGGAGATGGCAATGAGTGTCAATGACTTGCTTGGATTTGTTTAAAACTTGATTTATTAATAAATCCAATTTGTGGCATTTCACTTTATTGGCACAGTGAACTGAAATGCTTAACATGTCAAATCATCTCACAAACCAGCTTTCACTGGAAATAAACCACTAAACCTGTGGCGTATGAGTCATACATACCATGAATGACAACCGATATAAAACAGAACCAAGGATACCACCATAAGGCCGCATGGTTTCAAGGGAATCCCTCAATAAAAAAAAGACAGATACACAAACAATATCAGGCATAAGCTTCCAGAAAATGCCAACAATGTCCTATCAACAATGTCAATATTCCAGTATTTTCTTATCAGCCAGTCACGGCATCTGAAACACGCCTTTGAAGCGTCCTTCTGACTTCATAGTGAGTCAGTAAGTATGTTTAGATTTACGGTAAGAGGAGGATAAAGCCTGAATGATGTAATCCCAGACTAAAGAAGAGACTCTGGAGGCTTGCAAGATCTAGTGTGCTGCCTTGTCGTCTACAACCAACACAGGCAGCCGCACCTTCTAAGGCAGAATGAAATGGATTGAATTGCTCTATAAATGCCAGCTAGTTTGTTGACACATGCTACATAAAAGAAAGTCCTTGCATAGAGTCTACAAGAGATGCAACTAACACTCACAGTTGATTCTAACAGACTGATGTTTGTGTGTTGCTAAACTAGGGAAAACCTCTATTAAAGTGCAAAAAATATGCAGTGCACACAAATATTGAAAGCGATTTCAAAGATTGAGTGGTTTTCCCATTTACACTTTAATAGCTCTGCTTAAACTTGACATTTCCCTCAACTCGGACCCTGGCCCAAATGACACGCTCGAGATTACCAATCCACACTGGCTCTGATTTGGCAAAAGGCCACCCTTAGCCAAAAGCAACCACCCTTAAGAATTATAAAATGACAAATGGGAGACCCTAAAGCAATGGTGACAAATCCTGCTCTTTACTTTAAGAATACTGGAAGTTTCCAGAATTCCTTAAGACTAGTCATTAGTTGGTTCAGGTGTGTTTAATTAGAACTGGAGCTAAACTCTGCAGGATAGTGGCCCTCCAGGAGCAGAACTGGCACCTCTGACCTACCGAATTGGACAAGTCTATGAAAGGTTTGTCGAAATGCATTCTGGGACTACCCTTGAATATGGCCAAAACAAAGGATGTTACATGGTTGCATTGTTTTGTTGGCTACTGTTAGATATCTCTGCACTGGGAGCATGCCTATGACACCTAGAAATGCTGTCTAGGTAGGAAGCTCACATTGGAGCTCTATGAAACCGCAGCCAGGGGACTCTGACTGATATATAATCAGTAGCAGTGACTTAAACCTTAGGGCAGGTGGAAACTGCACTATTTCCAGTTTCTGTGAATGAATTTCCTGAGTAGCCTGTATAAAAGCAAGGAACGTCCGTGATATGGCATGTCTTCTGAATTGATCAAGCCAAAATTAAACGTGTTGAATTAAAAGAAAATATTTTTAGAGCACTGCACAAGAAAGAAGAATGCATATATGAACACAACAGTTGCATTTAACATAGGGTTCTTCAAGGAAAAGACAACTGCAACCCTAAAAGAACCTCAACGTTTCTTCACCAACAGTGGGTTGTGTTCAGGACGCTTTCTGTCAGTTTGCCTTGCTTTCTTCCAGTCTGGTTTGCATCTCGAGGCTTGGCTTGCTAATTCAAACCAGCACTTGGGTTTTGTCTTGTCTGTTTCTCTGAGGAGAAGAAAGGCGAGCATACAGTTTGAGGAGGAGGGGACCAAAGCCAAACACCTGGACCCTTCCAATCCAGCCAAACTGGAGTGTCCATCTGCAAATTATGAATGCACTGAAAAAGAGACGTATCGCTCAAGTCAAGAGTTAAACCGGATTTGGTCATTTTTACAATTTAACAAATCGCAGCAACAGATTCGCTCATTGTGTCCTACTAACTTTCTGATACAGCTGTTTTGTAGTCCGTATATCAATAAATTCAAATTAGTTTTAGACTAGAAATATACTCAACACAAGTGCATGGTCCCACTTAACATGCTTTCTTGGCGTGTCAACTACGTCCTCAATAGGGGCGATAACGTTACCTTCAAAGGTCTGAGTCATTATTCAGGTAGATACATAGTTTAACCAACTTGCAAAGCAAGATTATCTTTGATATGTTGTTTTGAAGACAGAAAACTGACAATAGAAATAGAAAACGTACTTAAATGGCCTCTAAAGTGCAACATTGAGAAGGCATCACGTTAATAGACATTTTGGAATACAAGATTAAAAGTCTGATAAAAAGTCTGCATTCACAAATTCGTATCCTTATGTTGTTAGTCTAATGAGAGTTTAACGCTTTAACACTGGAAATACTACTTTGCACCTGGAGTTATTAAAGTGCTGTGCCTCAGGGGCAGACCTACCTTGTTTAGGAGGAAGAACTAGTAAGAAAAAAAAAGGAGTACAAGAAAATGGAGGCGGGAGGGTGAGTGAGATCTTGTGGGGGAACAAACCTTGATTGAGCAAGACAAACAGAGCTGGTTTTGCCACTTTTCAACTGGGTGAGAGGGAGGCAGAAGGAAAATAAAAAAAGACAACTCTCTCACAGGGCTGGGAAAAAAAAGATCTGCTAATGATCAGAGATGATAAATACAACCAGTTTTAGGGCAAACACAAAAAAGACAGGAGGAGGCAGCGAGCAAGCAGGAACAGAGAAGCGACAGAAATAGCGATATGTTCTTGAGAAACCCGTCTTCTGTCGGGCCTGTAGTCCACAGAGGTGCTCTGGGACAAGTGTAGGCCTGTTTTATGTGCTCTGAAAAAACACAACTGCTGGCTAAGACATGCATGTTTGTGTGTTTTTAAGGTACTTGGGTGTTTTAGAAAACAAGAACCTCCGTTTATCGAACAAAACCGAACACCTACATCATAATACGAAGCCATTGACGGCTGCTAGTGAATGGCTATTTGAGCATGACTAAATACAAGATTACGTAAGAGAGCAGATGGCGTACGAGCATGAGACTTTTTATTATGCTTCATGAATGCGTGCGCATGCATGGATTTATACGATGGTTTGCACAAAGGGATCCTCGAGTGGATCGTGTATGTGGATGAAAGCATGTCGGATATAACAACCCAGCTCTATCAGCCCATTACCTACCGCCCTCTTATCTTTTCTCTAGTTTCCATCCCTCCTTTCGCCACCCCTCCCATAAGCCCTTCTATCTAGAAACACTTGTCTTGCAACCATGGAATGCACAAAAACACCTCCATCACAAAAACTGACTGCAGCGATACAATCTCAGCAGTTGAACCGTGTGTGTTTTTAAGACTCTCTTCAATTGAGGAGTACAATGGGAAGTTCCTGCAAAATTCAGTTTGGGTGGCAGAAGTTTTAAAGCCAAAAATGACTTCCCTCATATCAAATACATCAATTTGTTAGCTAAAAGCTACGTCACGATGACTGGGCTACCCGGTACAACAAAAACACAGTTCACACTGGCAGTGATTCATTTTAAATTAGCATTTACAATTTTGAGGTGACATGAACAGGGCTGCAACAACCAATAAGTACAATCAAGTATGTTCTTACACTTTTTAAAATTCAGATTCAATTTGCCTGTTGTTTGAAGGACAATGTTGGGTCGGATGTGGAATAACAATAAGACGGGAAAATTTAATTTGTGAGATCATATTAACCAGTTACCAAAATAAATGACAGTTGTATTGCAACTTCCCCTTCGGCACATGAACGTACTGCAAGCTCACTTACCGTACATCTTGCCCTCGTCCGACAGGATGATCTTGCGACGGCCACAGGGTGGATATATAGCCAGTGCCTCCTGAAAGCTCTGCTCGATGTCGGGGCTCCACACGCCCTCGGCGTCTCCGTCCATGGCCTTGTCCAGCTCATCACCCCCATCCTCCAGCCCCTGCTCCGGGCTGCCGTTGGCACTCCACTTGTTGGACGCAATGGTGCCGGCTCCTACCGGGCCCTGCCACGAGCCCCCACGATACGCAAGTACTGCGAGAAAGAAACAAGGAAAGAGAGGCAGAGAGAAAGAGAACATTAGTTAATTGTGGACATAAAGATTAAGCAAATAAATCCCCTTTCAAAACCGCTCCCTTTAGTCGTACGCACCCACAATTTTGGGCACCAGTTGATGAAGACAACAGCAACTGTGACTCTTATTACCATTTCCTCTTCTCAAAAGCTTCCAAAATGACAAATGAATTTTAGACATTATATAAAGCTCCATTTAAAAGGATTAGATAATTAGGACTAGCCTGCAAAAATGCTTGTGGTCGGGAACGCGCAGTCCAATGTGGCCATCTAAATGTCTGAAAATGGTTATGGGATCTTAAGTGTTTTTCAGGCTGCCTCTTTTTCGCATGGTATTGTTCATGAGGATCGGGTCCCGGGAGTCACTGGTGTGCCCACATATTTCATTCTTTTATTTCACTTTCTGCTGACGTTGACGAAAAAACGCAGCTTGGGTAAATACGGCTGACTCCGATTGGGACCTTCCTTTGGGGATATTCAAACACTCTGGTTACACGCACACTGAAAGAATAAACTTGACTTGGCAGCCCGATGACACAGAATGAGCAAAACAACGGTGCGGAGAGCGTTGGAATATGTGAGCGGCCTAATTACTTTTCGACATTGCAGGCCTCAGACTTCAGCGCGATCTAATGCTGCAGAGAGGACACTTAGCGATACATTTCCAAATTGCATTTGCCTCTCAGGTGACAAGCAACACCGTTCATCCCATGCAATCAGGACGGCTGCAGTCACAGGATGTTCCAGAGAAGTTACAGAGTGTCTAATGCTGCAGTAGAACCAACATTTGGAACAATTACACATTAGTGTATCAAATATACACTCAATATCCTTTACAGACTTGTTTGTATCGGTCACACACTGCAGACCTTTAACCTCAAGCATGAGCTACATTGCATTATAATACAAAACAGTCAAAACTGAGTTATAAAAGACTATGATCTAAAATTAAAGCGAAGCGTGGAAAAACTGGATGCCACGATGTTAGGGTGTTGTAGGTGATTCACAGTGTGCTTGCTAAGGTGATACGAGTAGTGCATACTTTTATGGAATAAACATTCATTTTGTATTTGGATAGTATTTGTATATTTTTTAGCAGGGTTGAATTTACACCTTGTGTAAATATCCAGTGTGGTAGGAAAGAGGTGTAAAATGCAAATCACTAATTACATGTTACATGATGGGTTGCATTAACTGAAATATTTCCGTCATTTACATTTTTTTACAAAACCCTCAGTAAAGCAAAAAGGAGAAAAGGTCTCTTTGGGAAGAAAAATGAGAGAAATAGATTGCAAATGCAATTAAAATAAATAATTTGATAAATAATGAGATGTTGATTAAAACTGAAGAGACGCTGTTATGTTATCATTTATACACCACTATAGCATTTATAAAATTTTTGAATTAAATTAAATTTTTAATTATTTTCAGTGTTCATTTTAATTTTAGCTTAAAAGGATAGTTCACTCAAAAATTAAAATTCCCCCATGGTTTACTCACCCTCAAGTCATCCTAGGTAGGGCTGCGAGATAAAACGGTAACGAATTATCGCAATATAATTTATTGACAAAACGATAACAGGAGTTCGATAAATGTTTGTTACAATGTTAATGTGCTAAAGTGGAGCATTTATCCGCTCAACTTCAAACGGCAGCGTAGCATGAGCTTACTAGAGCAGATGCGTTATTCGCTGATCAGTCTCAGTCACATGACACTAAACAGCGCTGTGAGATCCAGTGTGAAGCACTTGAATTCACGAAGAACACAAATGATTCGGTGATTTAAACAAGTTTAAAGCCAGATGAAACAGGAGAAACACTGCATGCAAAGATACAGTCAGAAGGCTTTTCAATCTACAAATTGCCATTATTTACCATGGATTTACTGTACTAACAACTGCACCATGGTATTGTGGGAGAAATGTGAGATACTAATATCGAATTTTAATATGTTATTAATGTTTTATTATGTTATTAATGTAGACATGTATTAAATGTATTAAAAGAGTAATGGAATGTAATTAAAGTAATTTTTTGTGATTAAGCTCTAGCGTTTGTGCGTTTATACTAAATGTATTTAAACTGCTGTTTTTCATACAAATATCTAGAAACCGTATTTTTACCATGGTAAATGTATGCTACTATGGAAGACCAATGGTTAATTTTAATAAAACTCAAACAGTCAGAATAATTAAATTACACCATATAAAAATGAGGTTGGTACAATTTTTACAGATGTTACCGTTTTTGATAATGAACATAAATTTGCATCGGCATCCTAACTCAAGCTACTGTCAAATTTCTAAGAGACAAATATATATTTTTTTATATTATTAATATTGCAGCCTTTACTGCAAACTGTGCTGAAGATGCCCGTCATCAAAGTCAGGAACACAAACCGGTTTCATGAATTGAAACAATATCACTCATTAGAGCATGCAGAAACTAAGAGATTAATTTTCCTATTGACTGGAATGACTGGAAAAGTGTAAAGAATTCAAAAACCTGAAGTGTTTGTCATGTTCTGACCATAAAGAGTAGTTTAAAACCACAATTAACCTTTTGCTTTCTACAACTTTCACTTAGGAGAAAAAAATCTGCCTTTAAACTTCAAAGAAATAAAGATTTGAAATGTATCGTGATAATTATCGATATCGACTGATGAGAAAAATTTTATCGTGATAATTTTTTTGGCCAATTCGCCCAGCCCTACACTACACATCTATATGCTGTGATTTCTGCCATGTCACCAAACAAAATCATATAATGCAAGGTAACACAAACAAGCAAACTTTGAGTAAAAAGGCATGACTGCATGCTCTGAAAAAGCTCTCCATTTAGTGTGTATGTGTGTGTGTGTGCGCACTAGGGGAGAGGGTGAGAGACGAGTGTGTGCATGGGGAGTGCAGAGAAGCCGTTCTATTGGAGAGTTGGGCTTAAATTCCAGACATGTCCTTATTAAGGAAGTGCAGCATTAGTTCTCTCTCTCTCTCTCCCTTATGTCAACCGAGCCCCTTCTCACTCTACCCTCTTCCCCACCCTGTGCTCCCAAGCACTCTGCCCAAATAAGGAGAGGTGAGCAAAGGATGAGGGGAGGGGGAGGTGAAGGAGGGAGGAGTGCTGGAGTCAAGGGGAGTCGAGGGGGTAGGGGCGGGGGGCAAAGCAGGAGGGAGGGGAGGGGAGGACTGACCAATTTAGACATCCATTCGGAGTCTGAAACACAGTGAGATTGTTTTGGACAAAACGCAACATCAGCACGCCCAGGGACTTGAGCGTTCTCGGCACTCCTGAAAAAGAAAGAGCTAGTAGTACAGCTGACAGCGGGAAAGTGGCCTGGACATGGCTTATCAATGCAAAAAATTAAAACTAATACCATTTTTATACACCATGGGGCATTGAAAAACTTTATTGTAAGGTACTTCAAAGAACACCGTGGTGTTAAGATATTATAAACATTAACATCATGATTTTTTTTTTTTTGAAAAGTAGCTTTGAAACAATGTGTACTGTGAAAAGCTCAACTGAAATGATTTTGACTTGCCTTAGTATTAACATTGCATTTTATGCAAATACCATGGTACTATTTTTTTTTTTTTTTTTTTAAGCGTGGTAATGAATAAAAAAAAAAAAAACAAAATGAGTGAAAATGGCCTATTTTAGCTTTATTGTGTCGCCGCCGACACGTTCGGTTTTAAAGGGTTAATAAAAACATTTTTTAATTAACAATGTGTGTGTGTGTGTATATATATATATATATATATATATACACACACACACACACACACACACACACACACACATTTATGAGTTTAAGTGTTTAATCCCACAGTGGTAGCAAATAATATGTTGCAAAAAAGTTATAAATTCAAATTCACAAAACTGTGTCCTGAAGGAAAAAAAAAAAAGGAACAAAAAAAAACTACCAGTTGCAAAACACACTGATGCAATGCCTTGCCAACAAAGAACAAAGTTTATTTTAATACTAATTGCAACAAACATCTGGCAGAGCGTTCTCTCTCTCTATCTTACCCTTTCATCTTAAAGCAACTTTGCGAATACACACACACACACACACACACACACACACACACACACACACGTTTAAGTGTTTAATCCCACAGTGGTAGCAAATAATATGTTGCAAAAAAGTTATAAATTCAAATTCACAAAACTGTGTCCTGAAGGAAAAAAAAAAAAGGAACAAAAAAAAACTACCAGTTGCAAAACACACTGATGCAATGCCTTGCCAACAAAGAACAAAGTTTATTTTAATACTAATTGCAACAAACATCTGGCAGAGCGTTCTCTCTCTCTATCTTACCCTTTCATCTTAAAGCAACTTTGCGAACATGAACTTCCAGTTTCTCTCAAAAAGAGACGGGGCAAGTGACCAAGAATAAGGTCAGACGGACACAACTGCAAAACATCTGTTGCAAAACAAACACGCTCATCCTGCAACGCTGAAAGCCATTCAGCTCTATGCGATGCAGCCGATGCAAAAACAAAAACTTCATTTTCCCATAAGGCAGCTGGGACTTAACTTTGAATGACATGGCACACATATTCAGTCCGACACAGGCACACAACCTCCTCTTTCCCGCCTCCTCTCTCTCCCTCCTGAACCAAACAGAGCTTTTAGTCAGTATATAATGCCAAAGAATTTCCATGTGGTCCAGGAATGTAAATAATGCAGTGAAAGCCATGCAGCGCACACATTCATTCAGACGCCCATTGAATGAACACAAGCCCTCCCTGCCCACTATCTCGCAGAGCTCCAACACAGTACGTATTGTTGTCGGCTGAAGTACTGAGTTGGCTCCAGCCACGATTCTCTGGGTTCACCGGATTCCTCACGATCTCTGCAGGAGAAAGCCCAGGGAAACTTACTTCAGTATGATCTAATATCAATTACAAAACATGGACTTACAGCCAGTTTTTCCCCAAGCTGACACTTCCAACCATGGAATCTGGCATGGTCTAACAGAGGAGTTTGGGGGTTGCCAGACTATTCTTACCAGAATCATAAAGACTTAGACATTCGGCCATTCCAGGAAAGGGGCACTGATTGAGGTTTACTTGGTGGCCTTTTCGAATTTTCCTCTCAGAGAGGTTGTTTATGACTCAAAAGTCAGATATTGTGGTCACACACAAGACGCACATGTACAAGAAACAGAGGACTGAACTAGAACTGTATGGTGATTTCATGACGTAGCACATCAAATCACACAGCTGATATAGATGTTTTCACTGTAGTTATGGTTTACAGTGAAAAGATCTAGAAGATTAAAGTTTTAAAGAATATAAGCCATTACTTCAGCTTGTTGATTACATTTTAATAACTGTAGTCTACGTATAATTTAGCAAGTATGCGTTGTATACTGTTGAAGAAGAATAGCAATAAAGCTTGATTTATGAAGAGACAAACTTGTGCCACCTAACTACATTTCCCATCATTCTCTGTGACAGGATGAGAGGGATAAAATACACAGATAAAACATGGATACACTTGTCTGCTTTGCATTAGCACTTACAAAAGCTCCCCGTCTTTGCCAGGAAGTGAAAAAGAATGAGAAATATGAAATCGTCCAGGAAGTCAATTTTATTTAAACTAAAACTACTAAAATAATCAATTATAAATAGTTGTATTTTGAAGCCAGTTTTGGTTATCAGCTTTAAAATATTAGTTACATTTCAAAGCAGATAACCAATAACTACTGGGCTTATATAGATCTATATCATCTATATCTATATCAACCTAATATCAATCTGAAAAAAAATTCTCCTCATGCTTCAAATGACGAACATCATAGACAGTGGAAAACTACTTTTCAATTAAAAAAATAACTTATCCCAAAATCATTTAATAAATGTAGGCCTACTATGAACTATTCGAACAAAATAAATAAATAAAAGAAACTTAAAAGAAACTATATAATAAAAATGTATAAATAAAAATACAATTAAATGGACTTTTCAAAAAATAAACTAAAACTAGAATACATATGATCACAACTAGAAATGTGATCATATTTATCAGTTTAGACATCATCCTATTTTACTTATCGGGTCAATACAGATTAAAGAGTCACATTTATTCTTAAAACTTAATTGTTTTTTTTAAAAGTCACATTTATTGGCCAATACCAAGAAAATGCTATGGAGGAGAGAAATCAAGTTTTAGGTTAATCAGAGAGAGATTCATGACTCAATCATGGGATTTAATCCAAATCTGGACTTTCCATCATCTCAAAACAAGAAGAGAAGTCATGGTGTTACAATCCCATTTATGTAAATATGCTAGGATTCTCAAAGAAGCTTATCCTGCATCTCCACATCTTGGGTTTTATAAAGTCTCTTCCAGTCTCAGTAAGTCATCTGATCACATTTCAGGGTCTCCGCTAACTGTCAGAGGAGCGGAGGGACTTTCCAGCGCATGGAGCGAGCGTTGGAGTCCATCTGCGCCGTTGTTTTTTTGGTGGGAAACAAGCGAGTGGAGGATCCTGTCCAGGAGGGAGGTCTTCACTCTGTCCTGCCAGCAAAATAAGGCATGCAGGGGAAGTTAATGGGAGCCAACCCTAACGTCCAGAACCTACCTTTTGTTTTTCCTTCTGTTGGACACTCATGTCAGATACCTAAACATAGAGATGTAGGAGAGCTGGAGAGATCTGAGCTAAGGTGTCATGGCTACCCTGCACTCTTAAAAATAAAGGTTCTTTATGCCGAGTTCACACTGCACGATTTTAGCCCGATTTTTAATTCGCCGTCAGGTTTTGCGAAATCGGATGTAGGAGAGCTGGAGAGATCTGAGCTAAGGTGTCATGGCTACCCTGCACTCTTAAAAATAAAGGTTCTTTATGCCGAGTTCACACTGCACGATTTTAGCCCGATTTTTCATTCGCCGTCAGGTTTTGCGAAATATCTGACAAATGCCTGAAATCAGAGGCAAATCGATGCTCGCTCACATGAGTGACAATCACGCAGTGTGAATGATCAAAGACGCGATCTGAGAGAATCGCAGACGCGTCGCTGACGCCCGTGAAATATTTGGCATGCTAAATATCTGGCAATATCTGATTGCCGCCGGTTGTTTTTCATGTCAGCAGGTTGAAGCGACCCCAATAACGTGATATTTAGGCCCTGGAATGTGAATTGTACCAGGAGAACCCCACCAAAAATTTTTTTATTTTATATTCTGTCATAGTTCCATCGTGCAGTGTGAACACAGCAACAACTGAATGCTACCCCAGATAGTCGTTCGGTGTGAACCCAACAGTGATGCGACGTCTTTGAAAATCGTGCAGTGTGAACTCGGCATTAGTGACATCAACAAGAAGAACCTTTAGAGTTTTAAAATGTTCTTCACTCTTAAAAATAAAGGGGTTTCTTCTGCAATACCATAGAAGAACCATTTTGGCTCCCCAAAGAACCTTTCAGTGAACAGTTCTTAAAAGAACCATTTCATTTCCTAGTTCCTATGCTTTTTCCACTATATTGTCTTAAAAATAAAGGCTCTTTATTGGCACTGGTGGTGCAACCTTTCTATTCCACAAACGGTGGGGAAAAAATGTGGTTCCTTTAAGAACTGTTCACTGAAAGGTTCTTTGAGGAACCTAAAATGGTTCTTCTGTGGCATTGCTTTGAAAACCCCCTTTTGGAACCTTTATTTTTAAGAGTGAAGGCGAAATGACCAAGAATTGAAGTATTTACAAGAGTGAGAATTGCCTTTTTTAGTATTCGTACTAATGCACAAAGCTCTTTCAACAAATGCCCTCCAACTGTTTTTTCCTGTCGAACGCAGCTCAGAATGTGAGATTTGTTAGGAAACTGTTGCAGCTGGAACACTTGTTGGCAATAGTCGCCCCTGGGGAGCGTATCCCTCCGGGCAGCCTCCACAACACACCCACCCTTCACTCACGCAAGAGCGTACACACTGAATACTCTTCAGTGTATTCGGCTCCTTGTCGAAAACACACACACAGTCAGCAGCGAGAGAACAACAGGGCTGGACAAGTGTAGTAGCAGCTGCTGGTTGGGTTCAGATAACATATAAAGACGTTTAGAGCGTCTCCTTCTCTTCTTCTCATTGTCCGGCACTGATTTCTAACTACGGCCAAAAGCACATGAATCGCACTTCCTGCTGGAGAGGAAACTCATGTCAGATCATCCCTTACTAGTATGATTCATCAAAGCAGAAGATAACCTCTTAAACAAGGCAGAGAGAGTATGACTCAACCTATTCTTGGGAAGTTGCATCTTCCCAGCAACAATTTTACCTTTTGTGGTTGGCAAATTAGGATCCTTAGAAAGCAATAAGCAAAAAAAACAAAGCACTGATTTATTTGGCAAAGCATACTGTATATGCAAATCTGATGGGTGGGTTAATCAAAATCTGAGAATATGATTGGTTCAGGCTTTTTTTTTTTTTTTTTTTTCACACTTCAGCGTCTGTTCACATGATCGTCGCAGCAGTCCAAGTCTGAACATGTCTGAAGGAACGGATATACGTGGGCCCAAGAGTGACAAATGTAGGCATACCTGCCATTCGTTCTAGTCTGTTTCTCTTTTTTAGCTCGTTGGCTTTGATGGTCTACACACCGTTTATGGCCTTCAGACCCAAGGCCACACACCGGGAACTGACCATCATAAAACCTGTGTGTGGCCAACTAGAGGAACAACCTTGGAAGATCAATTTAGGACTAGAACAACATAGGCTACTCAGCGTTTTGTGAAAAGCCTAAAAAAAATATTCAATAGAAATCAGTATACAACAAATGTATATTAAAGTACAAAATGTGGCTATGAGCCTAGCCCTGTGTGGCCTTGATCTCAGAAGTTAAAAAACAGCATTTGATGGAGGTTAATATAAAATAACAAAGAAAAAAAAGGAATGCACCAATATTAAAATTCTGGGGAAAAATGATGGTCATGTTATGGCCAATAATCAATAAATAGCCAGTAATAAATATTATTTCCAGATAATATATAATATTTCTATATACACTATCTATTTAGTTTATTCTATGTCTAAATACATTTTAAAAACTAAATTTAAACCATAAACCATATATGTTAATTAGGCATCGAAACTTCAGTGTACAGTATGAACAAAATGAATGCTCATTTCAATATTTGATAAGATTAAACTTGAAGTTAGATAAACTTGAAATTAGCATCAGATGACGACAAAAGAAAACGAAAATATGAAAGGGTATGATAATGATGAATTTAAAAAAATCTAAGCAGCAAGAAAATGTGTATGGTACCGATAAATTGGTACCATTTGAAAAGAAATGGAGTCAGCATTTCATACGCTACACAAATGCATCTCAATGCATGTGCAGCCCCATTGTACATACTTAACATACATTCTTGCACTACTGCTGCATTAAAAACAATAAATAATAAAAACTTACTACTGAAAGGGGCGATAGAGTTACCAATAAATATTTGCGGTATTAAACCAGATGCATTTTCATTCAGGTACCGTAGTTAGCTACAAACACACTAACAGTTTAACCGTTAAACAATGCTCAGTAAAAAAAAAAAACAGTACTAATCTAATGAGACCTAAAGCAATATCATTTACATTTGGACACGTCGGAACAATGCATGATCAAGTTTGTTTAGCTAGCAATTTCTGCCTACACGTAATTGCTTAGATATGTTCAGAGCCTCAGATGTAATCATGTTTGATAGCATTTAACCAAGTCCTGCAGGTCAGAGCTCTCACTTCCAGTAACTAATAGTGAGTTTTTGTTTAAAAGTCAGTGGCAGGACATTGCTTCAACACCCTTCCAAGACTATCAGCTTGTCTGAGAGAAGAAACCTTTTTGGTCTCAGCACATCTCTTTCTATCATTCTCCAACTCCCCAATCACTTTCATTCACCCGCTTGCTTTCTTTCCCTCTCAGTGTTTAGCTCTAATAAATTCTACCCTTCTCCTCCAATAACTTCCTCTTACTTCCTCTCTGGCTCGGCACTCAGGAAACAATCAGAGCTGTTGAAGAGCCTGTGAGAGAGAGCTGCTCGACAGATGAGAAAAAAAAAAATACAAAGAGTGAAATTAGGAATAAATGGCTCTTACTCAACTAAAATGACTCTTTACATGAACAGAAGCACCTAATGGAAATAACCCTTGACGCACACGAGACAGCTAAACATGAATCTCTAAGATATTAACGGTTCCTGATTTTTGACATTATCCACCAGGGTGACTTTCCAGGACGGCCGTCTGCTCTCAGATCTCTCCATATGGTTAACTCTAGTCCTGATTCAGTCAGCAGAGGAAAGACTGACACAAAGAGCACCGCGTGTGCCAGAGGACTCGCTCGAACATCTGATTCAGCACTTTCCGCGGAAAATCGTCAGGCGAATTTGTGAAGGAGTGCTCTTGCCTGACTTGGTCATTTAGTGGCTGAGGCAGGGGCTCGAGCCAAACCCCACGAAGACCGAAAAGACATGCATAAAGAGACAAATGCTCACAGGACTCTTGGGATGGCAGAGAGAAAGAGGCCCCATGTGCTGATCTCTGAGTCACACATCTATGCCAAAAACAGAGGAAGACATAGACACAACCTCATGCACTGACAAAGATTTGGTGTAGAAACAATTTTCATCTAGAATAATTACAGAGAAAGGCAACACACTATTTAAAAATTAAATTTTAACAGAAATAGTATGAAAGACTGAAATAGTATGTTCTTGTAAAATATACCCCAAAACTCTGTTTTATTTACTTTAAAAAATCTTTTTTTTTTTTTTACAGTGTACAAATTAAATTTGCAATCTGATTTCTTGAGTATTAAAAGCTTTCTTAGAGCTTTCCAAATCAAATATGGCAAATTTTTAACTTCAAAACTAGAGTAGATGCATTTGATGATATAATCAAAACAAAACCAGATTTTTATATTTTATGAAGAAAAGTACGTGGCTCTTGCAAAACACAATGCTAGGGTGTTTTGGGTAATTGCTAGGTAGTAATGTACTGGTCCAAGTCGAAGAGTCCCTCATTCAATGTAAATTTAGGGGAATTTTTCATCCCTTTCATTATATGCAAGTTGAAAATCATAAGTCTGTTCCCTGACACTAATCCCACACATTTCTTTAATATGCCGCATTATATGAGACATCATCAATCTCCGTAGCACAAATGGTGTGAGACGAGTTACACATCAAAATCAAAAGGGTGGTTCACTCACAAATGATAATTCTGTCATCATTTATTCACCCACATGTCTTGACTTACTTTCTTCTGTGAAAAAAATTATATTTCAAAAACTAAAGGGGTTTAAAAAAAATATAGAGAATTTTTCAAAATATCTATTCTATCTTGTCAGACAGGTTTGGAACAACATGTGTGAGTAAATTCCATTAATACTTAGTTTTTTTTCAAATGACTAATCCTAAGTATGAGCACTAAGTATAAGTTCATTCATAATGTGATATGACATGACGAAAACGGCAACAATGATCACTGTAATGATTATCACACTCTGACAAACTCTGGCTTCTTAAGAATGACAAATAAAAGCAACCACTAGACAGAAGGCCAAAAATAATCAGCTTGCCTTCCTTTTTCCAATTCAGATTATTAGATTAGATAGCATAGCATTAGCATAGCTGACTGCCGTGTGAACCCCGGTGCACTGCCACAAACAGTTGGTTTCAAGAACAACTGGAAAGTTTAGCAACTTCAGACAGACAGACACAAAGGCTATACTGTTCTAGCCCACAGCTCGCCCCTCCCTCGAGTCGCAAACGGCCACGGAGAAGACAACAAATCTTATCTGCCAATGCCTCGCACAGGAATTGCATGTAAACAAGTGTCCCGAGAGCGGGCATTAATTTTCAGCGCAATGTAAACACGCTTTCATAGGCCGCCTCTCCATCATAATTAATAAAGCATAGCGACACGTTGTGTGTGCTTTGCCGCAGAAAAAAAAAAAAAAAATGAGAACAGCACATTTGCAGCTGAACAACAAATGTGGCATAAACATACGGCATCTGTTTAAATTCACCAAAAACAGTATGTTTGCTTAAAATGTGTTGCCCTCAAAACAATCAGGGAAATTTTTTTTACAATTGTGTATAAACTAATATTTAAAAAATCACCTCCGTTCCAATGCAAACCTGGTCAATGGAAAAAACTAAATTCTGTGTAAAACAATACTTTCATTTCAGAAATGTGCTTTTGTAATCTTTAACTTGTATTATGTGTAAATTCAGCATTATATAATCCATGCCTTGTGATCTTAAATATTGGCCACTGAAAATTGCATAAGGGAAAGCTAACACTAATACTAGCGGGCTTGAGCTTACATATTTACTCAAGGAATATTTTTTCAAAAGACATTTCCGTACCGCGGAGGCTTACAGTAAAGTGACTTACATATCACGTAAGAGGCAAATACCAGGACAGGTTGACTGGAGTGCATGTCACAAGCCAAACTAGACTAAACTTCCTGTAACAGACTTAGTTAAGAAGCCGAGACATTTAGTAATGTGTGAAGCCGAACCTCCGATGTGGGGTTCATTTGTTGTTGATCAGATAATGGGGTTGGGGTAACATCTCAATTCATTTTTGAGATGTTTTGGACTCACGAGCAAGAAAAAAGATTTGGCTGAGATCTGGCTCAAAATCTAAATGTAAACCAAAAAATTGGAGAAAATAAACTGGAGTACAATTTAGTTACTTTCACTGTTGACTAAACAAAAACCACCGTAACATCTGGTCTATGTACAGTCTCTTTAAAGAGCTACAACAACAATCACTTCTAAACACAACCCGACCTCTATCTAGCTATATTTCAAACTTTTTTTGAGAAGCCCAACCTTTCTAAAAGGAGGTAAAACATAAGACAACCTAATCAAGCAGCTGAACTTGAAGAGGCAGTTTGGGCTGAACTGATTAAGTCCAACCTGAAGTGCAGCATTTCTGTTCAACGAAACCTGTCCATTAATAGTAACTCAGAGGAACAATAAAAATGTGCAGAGCATCATTAAAAACACTTACATATGCGTGGAGCAAACTAAAAACGAATGTACATATTCATGAGGAGGACAGAACTCAAAATACTTGGGTCTCACCAACTAACCCTGGGGGGAAAAAACAGTAAATGGCAAATTCAGACAGATGAGATGAAAATGTTTGATAAGATGAGAATTCATTAACCCGCTTGTTGTCCTAAGAAACGGCATCCTCCTGGGATCCCTCAGTCAAATTTCTGTTACATTAAAAAAAAATCTAATTCACGAGGGTCTAAAAACACTCATTAATGTTTAAATTAGGGAGGTGCTTAATCTTCTTACAGATTTTTTTTTTATTTCATAGATTTACAGAAACTATTTAAAGCTGAATAACATCTTAAAGACCAAAGGCCATGATTGGTTCTTCAACAAATTTGACCATAAAGACCAAACGATTTTCACATGAAAAGTGCTATACAAATAAATGTGAATTGAATGATGAGAAAAGGTTATATTCATTTAAAACACATTTACACAAAACTGTTTTTATTTTTTGTTTAGATATTCTTGAAAACGTCACAAAGTCAGGATAGGACACCAAAAAGGGTCAAAATACTCTTTAAACCATAGAATGTACAGTATGTGGAAAATAATGTGTTTTTTTTACTTTAAACCGCATAAACACATTTCATTACACCAAATAATGTTCTTTTTAGCAGCATCATATGACCCCTTTAATATCGAAACGCTCAATCGGAGCTGTTTGGGCGGGAAGATAACTCAACGTCACTGCTTTACCCGAGTAACCAAAATAGTTTTAATTTTAAAAAAAAGTATAACATTATAGTATAACAGAGAGTTTACAGACATTAAGATTTCACACAAAAACACATTTCACACTTAATTCAGTTTTGATATTCAATATGAAAAGTGCCTGAAGGCAAATATGACCGTTTCCAAAGAAATCAGTTATCATATCAACCAGTTTTACAATAAATTGTTTTTATGCTATTTCTATAGGTTAAGTCGGTTCAACTCTTCCCAATAGTGTAATTTTTTCACTTCACATGCACTCTAAAAAATGCTGGGTTGTTTCAACCCAACTTTGGGTAAAATATGGACTAACCCAAATGTCGGGATACATTTTTAAATTAAGTTCAGTTTTTAACCCAGCACTTGGGTTAGTCCATATTTGACCCAAGGTTGGGTTGAAACAACCCAGCATTTTTTTAGAGTGTGTAATGAAAAAAACATAACTTTGTAAATGAAAAACATAACTTTTAATGCATATACTTCTCTGCTCTTAAACTCACCTCACTAATAATCTCACAGAAATCAGTAAATATTAAATCCAGTAAACGTATTGAGCCTGTCAAGTGAAACAAACATAGTCAGACTTACCTGATAACGTAGAAAAAGGGGTGAGCGATCTCTCCAAACACTTCTCTCTGACAATTCTCTGGAACAACAAAACTTCTTTCCTTATTTTCAATCACAAGTGTTTGGGAAATGCTGCTACGAGAGTAACTAAGAGCCTGTGCAGACGAGCAGGACATTTTCGACGTGCAATAATGGAATGCGATAATGTTTCTAACTTAAAAGTCTAATTAAAAGGCAAACAGTTCCTGGCTATCGCACTAAAATCGGCTCCCTCGCTCTCACACACGCACAATTCCAGCATATCCACACGGAATTCTGTCCCTCATCCCACCCAACGCAGGGAATTCCGAGGAAAAATGCGAAATATGACAAAGATCTGAAAACTTCGCTAGAGCGGCATGAAAAACGCGACCAGACAAAGGGAACTGAATCTAAAACTCACCTTTATTGAGAAACACCTCTACCGATAGAACTAGACGAGGTGTATTTCTTTAAAGTTATATTTATCTTGGTGCTCTATTGTTTTCAGTAATATTTCTCCCGGTTTGACAGTAAAGGTGGAATGCGAAGTATGGGTTTGGTATGAAATTCACGCACTTCAGTGGAAAACGAAGGAGGGGGAGAAAAAGTTGAAGGAGGGGCCACCGTTGCGCGTCAATCAACACGGCTGGGGGCGGGGACTTCTCCAAAGGCCCGCCCACTTTGGGCCACAGAGAAGAAAAGAAACGCTACTGTACATTGAGTTATAAATACCAAGTTTAGATTAATGTAATTACGTTTATCAATAACAAATAGCGCAGAGTAGATACTATCTGGAACGTAATCTGGTATTTATTTATAAATATTCAAATTAATTTGTGCATTAACGTTCATTAACTAATTAGACTAGTAACATTTACAATGTTTAGTTAATTAGCAGCTTAGTTAGTAGTCTTTTGCTTTTGTGGATTTAAGAAATACTTGTTTTGGAATTTCTGAATGTATATTTTAAAATGTAGGGCCACTTTAAATGTTAAAATATGTAAAAAATAAAATAAAATAAATAATAATAATAATAATATTAAAAAGAAGAAGAAGAAGAAGAGGTAAAATATGCTCATTAAAATAAGTACTTATATACTCATTTACTGAAAATAAAAACTAATGCAGTTAAAAAAAAGTTTAGACAAAAAGTATGGAATAATTATTTAAAAACTGCCAATTTAAATATGTTAAAATATGTAAAATGTGCTAATTAAAATAAGTACTTATGTACTCATTTACTGAAAGGTTCAAAATTTTAGACAAAACTTGGAATAATTAATAAAATCATTTTTCAGTACTTGACTTAGTGTTACTCCTAATGTTTTTAAAAAATGTTTAATAATCATTTAAAACATCTATATAACTGAGCTTATCACTGTATTTAAAACACTTTGTAAAACCAAGTGATTTTATTGACAGGTCATATACTGCACGATTCTCAGTCCCTTAGAAGGTCATCATCATCATCCTCTTCATCGTTCAGCAAATCTAATAGAATCCATTCAGCATTCCAGAGAGATGAGTGTGAACAGCGAAACCTCTTCACCACAACCACCGTCTCAGGGGAGCAAAACAGTCATACTCAGTGACGTAATATGCTGGAATGGAGCCTAAGATTATAATGCTTGTATGCTGCTTTAACATACAACGTAGAGCTCCGTCTGTAGGCCAAACCTGTAGCAGAGTACAGTTCAGAGTAAAGATTAGCAAAGTAAAGTTAAAATATTACAAGGGTTACAAAAAGCTACAGGGACAAGATGAGGAAGTAGTTGAAATTATCACAGCAACTCTACATGGTAAACTTTTTTGAGACTTACAAGTTTGAACAACCTACCCAGCAGGCTGTGACAGATCGTCTGGTCTAGCCTGAGGCTGAAGGTTTAAAGAGAGATCCCCAACCACACTTTAATTCTGTTATACTGTTCATTCATTCGGCCTCATGCAATGACTTTATCTTTTAAGATCTGTATTTTTTTTACCTTACAAGATTTAGAAAGACATTTAAACTCATTATAAATCAGCATTCACAACTCATTATAATTTTTCAAATCTACTGTGATTTGCTATTATTGCAGTGGCATTTATGAAATAAAAACTAAGCAGCATTAAATTAACGTTAAAGCCTAAAACATTGTCTAAATAGCTATTTGGCTATTGGTTAACATCAGTTTTCAATGTTAAAGCTGCTTTGGTGGTATCAAGTGAAAAAGAAAGTTATTTCAGAGTCAAAGAGAAGCAATTCAAAAAATGCATAAATGAAACATGCACAAAAATACCAGAAATGTGCAAGAAAGTAAATTTTTATTTCATATTGACTTGGCAACCTGAATTGTCATAAGCAAAACCTTTCACACATCTATCAAACACCCAGAAACCAAACTGTTAAACGAAGCACATTTTTACAAACACTTATTTCATTTCAAAGTATTGGATTTTTCTGTAGCCTCCTTGTTAGTGCGTCCGCCTCCTATGCCGGAGACCCATATTTGAGACCCACTTGGAATGAGAACGAGGTGTGGCGGTGAGGACCCGGGAGAGAGGGGTTACATTGGTGCCGTGACCCGGATGGGAGTGAGGCTTAGGGGGGTGAGTGTAATGGAGGCCAGCGAGTAGGTGCTGTGCAGGTAAACCTCACTCCCCTGATCTCAAGAGACGCACTAGCGACTGATGCTAGAGGCAGCAGTCTTTAGCCTCCTTGTTAGTGCATCCGCCTCCCATGCCGGAGACCCACTCGGAACGAGAACGAGCTGTGGCGGTGAGGACCCGGGAGAGAGGGTTTACATAAAAACGGAAGAACATGACTAATGACCTTTGTCTGCACGCATTAAGACAGTTATGGGTTTTTATCAAATACATCCTATGTAACACAAATAATCATACATAAACTACAATGACACGTACAAGGCGAAACAAACAATTAAACACCAAACGTCTAGTGTTTGCAGCTGCATCAGGTGATAGTACACATTATTCCTGTATGACACTTATTATTCCAGATCATCTTTGCTTGAGTAAGCAAGAAACAGCACGAGTGGTTGAGATGTTTGACATACTCCAAGCATCAGTCAATGATATTGCATGTGCAAAAATCTGAAATTTACTATCAGCATTGATAAACCTGGACCTTGCTTTAATCTTATGCTTTCGGAACACTTGCACAGACACCCTCTTTCCTGCTTGCTCTCAGACAAGCATTCTTACACGGTTACACACACAAAACACAGCACAACTGCCAATAATACAGAGAAATGTTTTTTTCCCCTTTTTAAAAAGAATAGTTCACCCAAAAATTAAAATTTGCTGAAAATGTACTCACCCACAGTGCTCAAACCATCCAAGATGTAGATGGGTTTGTTTCTTCATGGGAAAAGATTTGGAGAGATTCAGCATTACTGTACATCACTTGCTCAGCAATGGATCCTCTGCAGTGAATGGGTGCCATCAGAATGAGAGTCCAAACAGATGATAAAAACATCACAATAATCCACAAGTAACTCACACCACTCCAGTCCATCAGTTAACATCACCCATTGAGCACCCTGGATCGGCGTATACGACATCATGTTCCAGTTCCTGCCAATATCCAGCAACTCGGCACAGCCATTGAAGAGGAGTGGACCAACATTCCACAGGCCACAATCAACAACCTGATCAACTCTATGCGAAGGAGATGTGTTGCACTGCGTGAGGCAAATGGTGGTCACACCAGATACTGACTGGTTTTCGGACCCCCCCGGACCCCCCAATACAGTAAAACTGCACATTTTAGAATGGCCTTTTAATTGTGGCCAGCCTAAGGTAATTCCCAATGTGTGGGAAGTTGTGGCCTAATGGTTAGAAAGGCGGACTTGTAACCCAAAGGTTGTGGGTTCGAGTCTCTTTCCGGCAGGGATTGTTGGTGGGGGGAGTGAAAGTACTCTCTCCCACCTTCAATACCATGACTGAGGTGCCCTTGAGCAAGGGTGCCACACCCTGGGTGCCACAGCATAAATGGCTGCCCACTGCTCCAGGTGTGTGTTCACTGCTGTGTGTGCGTGCACTTTGGATGGGATAAACGCAGAGCACTAATTCTGAGTATGGGTCACCATACTTGGCCACATGTCATGTCACTTTAATCATGCTGTCACTTTTTTTGAGAGAAATAGGCCTTTTGTGTACATAGAAAAAGTCTTAGATCTTCGAGTTCTCATGAAAAATGGGGGCAAAAACAAAAGTGTTGCGTTTATAATTTTGTTCAGTGTATAAACAAAGTGTTTTTTTCTATTTATGTTACTAGTATAAGATAACACAGATTTTAACCGGGTTTACTCAAATGTGAAGCAGACAATGTCAAAACACATTTTTCCTAATTGCATTGTATGCATAACCTAAAAATAAAACACAATCCATTGTTTCTTTTTCCCTTTTCAAACACACGCTACGTCTAATGTGACCTCCTCACCACATCTTTCAAACTCAAAATCAAACACCTCAACACACTTCCTCCCTTCTCAGTAGATCATTGTACAACCATAACTTGACTTTAGCCCAAGCGGATATCACCAGCATGTAAAATCATGCAACCCCACAAGCAAAGGTGGCTTTATTTTACAGATTTATGGGTTTTGGTCTTCTCATCGTGAATTGAGCTGATGCTGAGTGAGAACGTTTCCCATTTGTTGCATATGACAAAATCACAGACGTCTTTACGCTTTTACTCGCAGGCGATTTTGCCATCAAAGCTGGAGAGAGCGATGGCAAAGGCTTGTACCGCACACAGAGGATACCTATAGTCCAGAGTGAAGGCATCGTCTGCTACTCTCCCAAACTGCATCACTATGTAGTCCTCTGAAATGTAGCACAAAACAGGGTGATGTAAAGCTTTATGTACTTAGCCAACATACAAATACTAACATTGATTATTATTTTGCAATATATTTTACAACATCAAGCTGTTCAGACTGCTGATTGGCACTGCATATTGCACAGTGTATACTGCACACTTCATACTTTTACATACAAATAGTGAAACAGTTTGCAACATGGAACAATAAGCATTTCAAATGATGGTTTTCTACACTTGAGCATTTTGCATGTTTAATTCAAGGTGTCACATCTTAAAATATGATTATTTTGGATTTCTAATCCATTTTTGTGTACTAATAATACATTTTTTGTAATTACTAATGAATGAAGAGATTAAAATAGTTGCTGATATTATTTGTGGTACATTTGTCACTGGAAATGGATGGTGAGATCAAGTGCATTGCATTGTGGGATACAGTATGTTGCATTAACAAATTTGGCAGACATTTTGTCAACACGTATTACAGAGCATATAAAGTATACAGGTTATCATGACCATGTTGTTATTAGCACCATGCTCTACTAACACAGTAGCAGTGTTGTTATTATTAACTAAACCTATTAAAAATGATCAATAATTAAAATAAAGCTGAAATAACAAATTAAAATATTACATTTGTCAAAAAACGTAACTTAAAAAAATCTAACAATTAGAAATGTTGATTTGGCAACTGACTGGAATAAAAGTTTAAATACTCAAATTATTCAAATTAAAATTGACAAAAAAAGCTTAATA